TTTCAACAGATATTTATTGATCATCTATTCAGTGCCAGGCCCTGAGAATAAAATGGAGAAAGGGAAACACCTCTCAACCTCTGCCCCATTGTCATTGCTCTGATGGAATGTGCAATTTAGTGAGGGAGATATAAACATTTTTCAAATAATCATACACAAGTAAAATTAGAATCACGGTACTTGCTCTGAAGGAGATGTACTGGGTGAAATGAGAGGGATTAGCAGAGGGAAGGACCCTGGGCAGTGTTCAGAAAAGCTCCCACAAGGAGTGATATTTGTGCTGGGATATGAAATGAGAGGAGAAGTTAGCTTGGTAAATAAGAGGGCAAGGAGGAGGAACATAGTAGAGGAAATCACACACACACATTCTCTGTAATAAAAGGGGATTAGGACACATTGGAAGAACAAGGCTAATGCAGCTGAAGCAGGTATGTGGGAGAAAACCAATCAAGATGTCCCAAGCATTATTAAAAGTGTTTTCTTTATCCTGAGAGCACTGGGAAGGCATGAAGCTTTAATCAAAAGAATAACATTCTTGGCTTTACATTTCAAAAAAAAAAAAATCACCCCATCAGAAACATAAAAGGCAGATGACAGACAGGCAAAATTAGATTAAGGGAAACCAGTTAAGATACCAGTGTAAAACTATTATCCAAGTGAGAAATAATACAGGCTTTCATTAAGATAGTGAAAGAAGAAGTGAAAACATAATTAGCAAGAGATGTTAAGGAAAATCACCAGGACTCATAAAGGACTGATTCTGGAACATTAGGGAGCAGCAGATGTTAAGAACAACTCTCAGAGGATAGTTCATGAAACTTGAAGGTTCTTAGTAATATTCCCTGGCATGTTGAATACAAAGGAGATGAATTGGTTGGCTTGGAGAGAAGGCACATTCATCTGTTCTCTTGGTGAGAAGGATGAGTCCATGAGAGTTTGGTGGAGATGCCAAGTAGGCTTTGTTGCATGTCTAGAGCTCAGTAGAGAGGGCTGCTGTGGATGAACGAATCTGTGAGTCAGCAGCTCATGGGTGATAATTGGTGAGGAAGAGATAAAAGATAGACAGTAAATCAGAAGGCCAAGGACTAGGTTTTCAAAGGCCCCCAGTTCATTGCCATGTGAAGGAGCATTTGTCTAAAAATGAAACTAAGGAGAGGGAAAGAAAACCAGGAAAGAGTAGTGTCATGGGATCCAAGAAATTAAAATACTTTTAATAGAGAGGTGATAGGTGTGAATTTTGAATTATCTCTTGGACGTAGAAAAATGGAGAGCCTCGGTGATCTTAGCTGGGACTGTTTTGGTGGCATAAAGAGAGCAGCACCCAGAGAGGAATACCCAGAGGAGGCAGTGGGAGGTGAAGATGGAGCAGACACTGGAGGGATGGATTACTGAGTGGACACTGATGTGGCATTGATACAGTGTTTTACACAATGGGAGAGACTAAAGCATCTTAAGTGTTGCTAGAAAGAGCCTATACCTCTAAGAGAGACAAAACATATACATGACAGAAGAGAAATAATAAATAAAGTTTCCAGAGAAGGGCATGCTATATTTGGACAGCGTAACACAATTCAGCTTTTAAAACTTCATAAATATTTTACTAGCTGTATCATATCAGATTGTGAAAATATACTTGTAATCGTAACTTTATAATATAGATTATCAATTTTATGAAATATTTTTCCTGCATTTGAGACTATTTATTTTCTTACCTTTGAATGCAATAAACTACATTAATAGTTTGGGTTTATATCACAACTTCATTTTCTAGATAAATCACATTTCATTATGAGACATATACTACTGATTCTATTCACCATTATTTCTGTGTCCATGTTCATACATGAATTTCTCCATATTTTTCTTTTCTTTCATTCCTGGACGTTTGTTTGCCAATGTTATACTGGTATCTGAAATAAGATAGAATTTGTTTACTTTCTGAAGTAGGCTGTGTAGTAGGGAGTTTATCTCCTTTAGAATGGCACATTTGTAAAACCATCTGGGTCTGCTGTATTGGGATGGGACACTGGTAGGGATATACCTGTGATGACATTTCATGGTTGATTCAATTTCTGGAGTGGCTATTTTTTTCTTGAGACAATCCCGATTCCTAATTATTTGCTTAAAATATTATTTATCTGTTTTCAAATATTTTGCATTAAGTTTTTCATATTATTCTCTCATTACTCTCTTCTCTTTTTTTCTAAAATTGTATATTTGTGTGCTCTCTGTGGAAATGTGCTGATTTCATTGGCCTTCTTAAAGATCTTGTCATGATTGCAAACATGAGGAAAATGGAAGCGCACATCAGCAAAGGGGCTTGGAGATCACACACTGATTGGCAGTAGAGCCAGGTCTCTTGATTCCCAGCCTATGAACTTCCCCTTGGACTTGCTGTCATGCACTAGCTTACTATTCTAATTCACTTAAACTTATGCTGATGCAAACAAAGATTTCATTGGTTAAATGTAGGTAGAAAAGCTGCAATATGACACTAAGTAAAAGTGTAAACAGATTGAAAGCAATGACTCCTCACCCTGCATGGCACCCCACAAAGAGTCCCTAGAGTTTCATGAACAAAACCACAGAACAAACAGACCCCCACGAACAACAGTTGTCATACATCAATACCAAGCCACACCCATATAACATAAATGTGAAGGCAAACTTGGTGTTCAGAATGTTGCCTTGTATTGGAAAAAGGAATACGCTCATAAAATTTCCAGATGTGTTTTTTAACCATTGAGTTTTGCTAGGTTTAAGATGTACCTTTAACTCAGTGGACCCAATTTTTCCTTAAAACATTTTAATGTAAGAGTGTTTCTTTAAAACGCTTTAACCTAAGATAAAAAAATTGTGACAGATTCACTTACAGTGAAAGACAGTGAAACGTCTCTTGTGATGGCAAGCAATAGCAAATAATTAAGAAAAATGCTTCTGACTTCGTTCTGTAATTTGCAACCCTTTCCAGCAAGAGAAGTTTATTCATTAAAGTTCTCAAGAGGAATTCTCACTGTGAGAAAATGACAACACTATTTATTTAGCCCAAATGGAAAATATTCATAAAATTTTCTTCTCTTGATCTACCACATTCAATTTGACAGTAATGTTTATAAATATAAATGATATCTGCTCCACAGATCTCAGCATAAACTTTAATCCTGAAAACAGTAACACTCTTAGAGCCTAGAGTACCCAAAATGGCCACATAATTTAACATTACCTGGTTCATTCAACATGTCCAAAATTGAATGCATTCTTTTCCCAAGCAAAATGGCCACAAAACTTCTCTGTGTTTCTATAGTAGTGACTGTTGGTTATTTATCCAGTATCTGCTTAGTTCTTCTCACAGAGAATCAGAGCCTTCATTTTATTTTAGGGTGGTCAGAAGCTTGAATAAAGACTACATTGACCAAACACTATTGTAGCTAGTTAGGGCCATACTTCTAGGTGAGGGTGCCAGGAAAGCTCTTCAAATGGGTGTGCTATTATCACCTTAGTCCAATTTCTCTTTTATTTCAGCTTTGAATAGTGTGATAGCTAGAGATCTAGCAGCCATTCTGGAATATAAGAGAAACTCTGAAAATGAGACACCTAGGTTCTTGATGTCTACGGGAACTACTATATTAGCCATCTATCTCCAACATAATAAGCAAGCATCCATTACTCTTTAAATATTTTCAATTTTCTCTGATATTCTTAGCCTCAGATGTCATTTTCCCCATGAGAGTGAATCATTCTGACCCCATGTCAGAGAGTACTCCTTGCTTGTAGGTATTACCTTGCCATCTCCACCTGCTGGAGTGCTCCTCAAGGACAACAACTGTGGCTCTTCGATTGATTAGTCCACTACCCCATGTTTACAGTACCCACCACCTACTTATGTGCACGGAATGAGATCAAAAGTATTAGCTGAAGGAACAAATGTGTGTTTGAGTGTGCATACATGTGCATGTGTGCATGTGTATGTTTGTATATGGATGATGTGCGTTTATGCATGTCTGTGTGTATGTGTGAAAGGGCTTTGAGTTATTCAAGTGTGTGAAATTGAGTTGTAACAAGTAATCATAAAAATTCACTAGGCTGAAATAATGCAGCAGACCAAAGCAAAAGCCAAAGGAGAAACACAGTCAACCCAGTTTGAAAATCTGAAGTGTCTGTAACTCCTACTTGGACAGAAACATTTGTGATTATGCTAATATTCATGTCATTCTCATTAACGCTAATAATGTGCCTATGGGGGGAGGTCGCAAGGTGTGTATGGGGCTGTGTATTTTCTAAGATGTTTTATAAGATGCCACGTTGAACTATTTTTCAATTCAATGCTTACTAAACAAAACTACCTATGACCTTAAGCCACCTAGTCTTTCCTATTCTAAAAATATACTTTCTATTTGCTTTTTACTATCTTGATTTTGCATGAAAGCTTTAATACATCATCCGTTTAAATATCTGAGTAAAGATAAACTAAATAGTAAATGCTAGATTACTAGAACTGGAATAATCACTGTTATTTCTGTTTTATAAAGTACTCTACTCAGAACGATTTCAAACGAAGGTAGTTTGTTTAAGAGTCTCAGTTGTGTGACCTTAAGCCCAAAGGTCTTAAGACAAATGTTTGACTCCAAAGGCGTAAAATACCTGCATGACTTATAAATGCAATGACATTTTCAACATTAACATAAGATTTGACCTTTTGTGTCCAGTCTTCTGGGATGTGGTGTTTCAGCATGTTGAGTTTCTCTTTCTTTCTGTTTATTGTTCAAAGGCATACCTTGAAGCATAAACTTCAATAATACAGCAGTTCAAAAACCAGAAAAGAACCCCTAAGAGCAGAATATAGCAGAGCAAAACGCAATTAAATTTTAACCTTTCAAACTTTAAAAGATCTAGAGTAGCTTCATTTCCTGCTTACCTAAATTAAATTGGATCCCTAAAGACACAAATAAAGATACAAGAAAATACACTGGCAAAAACACAATTACACTCCAAGAATTGGGTTAAATTAAAGCACATCTCATTTATTCACTGCAGTTTAAACACGTTCATATTTAACAAATTGGTATTTATTGATTCAACAATCATAAAAAAGATTATGTATTTCATTATGACAACTAGACTATGTTAGAATTAGAGAATAAATCATGTAGCCGTAAACTGTAATTTGTTTAAAGAAGTGTAATTCATGTGATACATGAGAATAAAAATTGCTCACAACAAAGCTATCTGTGATTGTCTTAATCCTTACCATTTAAAAATATCTCTATGTAGAATGATATTTAGGAAAGAGAGGTTTAATGAAATCTTGCTTTAGTAAAGAAATCCATAATGAAGTATATTCCTTTGGTCACAAGCTAGTGGAACTCAATGCTAGTGTTGAAAATATCAAAATTTTAAACAAGGCGAATGTGATTGTCTATTGAGGACTTAGAAAAATCTCGTAAAAGAATGTTGAGAAATATCTGAACTCAGAAATGTCTGAGTGGAAACTATTTCAGTAATGGATTGATTTTATACATTTTCCTAACCAAAGGTTGCAAAATAGCAGATTTGTACGGACTTTAAGAGCCACAACTGAGCACTTCATATCTGACAATGCTCCGAAGACAACAATTTCGAGAATGACATAATTTTTACCAAGTTTTTAATAATATATTTAAAAATAAACTACATCCTATATGCCAATTTTGCGTGTATAACTAAGAAGTAACTAGACATTCCCATAAGTCATTGGTTCTTAAACTGGAATGTGCTTGTTTAAGCTCCAGAATTTGAAATTTGCTAGGTCTAGAGTAGATCCTAAGAATGCCCATTTCTTGCAAGTTCCCAGGAGATGGTAATCCAGCTAATATGGAAACTTTGAAAACCACTGACTTAGAATAAAGAAACATAATTATTCATCCAAATTAAGAAAAATAAAATGCATCTACATTCTATTTCTCTACCCTGAAAAATTATAATCTGTGAGATTCTGGTAAAACTACTGTAACTGATACAGAATAACTAGTTCGATTTAATTAATTTTGCTGAAGGGTAAACTAAAAGCTTTTTAAATTCTGTTTTTTAAAAAGTCTTCTTTTATATGTAGAAATTGGTGGCTTTTTCATACCATGTCATCAGTATTAATAAAAGCCCACATTAATATCATTAAAAACATGTGCCTAGTCAAAAGATGACAACAATAGAAAATAGTCCTTGTTACTATTTTCTATACAAATAAGTTAGTAAAGTTTTTTAACCTGGGGTGTTCAGTTTTCTTAATAGTAAAGTGACATGTTTACAGTGGACAATCTGTGACAGCCTTTCCAGTTCTGGAATGTCTCAGTTTGGACACTGTCAATCGATGCCTTTGTCACAAAGAAGCTAGTGTCTATCTGGCGTGGTAAAGAGAACAAATATCTTGGAGAAACTCCCCAAAAGTCTACAGAAAGAACGACCTTTCCATTTGCTGGTTATTAACTAACAAGGAGTTTCAAAATAGAAAATGAACAAGAGAATGTAATTTCACTGCTTGGAGAGTGTTTTCAGCTCCTTTGTTGTACATGTGCTTGTTTTATCCTTGACTGTTAATTGCAATGAAAGACAAGGTTTTATTCCTTATGGAAACTTCTTTAGTGCTCAGATGGGCAAGTGATGTGGGTGATGACTGCCAGTAGATGGATCAAGAGTAGACTGTAGAGTCGACTGCTGCTCTGACGCAAAATTAATAAACACCTGAAAAATCATAAAAATTGTTGTTAATGTATAAGAATAAAACCTTTTTGTCTCACTTACTAGAAAAAAGACATTCTCTAAGAACACTGGCCAACTTGTCCTAAAAGCTACAGATCATTAATTTATACCACTCCTTCCCAGATCACATAAACATGTAAATCCATTGAGAACACAACTCTAAGAATATTCGTATTTCTAGACAATTATAATAATAAATCACCTAGAAGGTCTCAATACCTTCAGCCTGGTTTCAGAAAGATGTTGTGATGTATTTTTATATTTCTGGAACTCTTAGTAAATCAAACCCTTTTTGTTTCTTCAGAAGTTAGCTATCAACTGATTACAGTAGAGCCCCCACCACCCCCACCCACAAGTCTTGTGAGGCTGGGTAATGTGGAGAAAGGAAAGTTAATGTGACATGATTTAACGTGCTGAATGTCCAATAGAATCATGAACACATTGAAGCTCTATTGAATATCTGCCTTAAGTAGAAGTGTATACAATAAACAAACCTTCTGACACTCTCCATCCTTATCATAATTTTATAAAATTGAACAAGATGAATTGAATAAAGTGGTGAATTGAAGTAATTCAATTAATTTTAAAGTTGGCTGGATTAGGTTTGATGAACAGAACAAAATGCAACCTCCTGAATCATTCAAGATACTATACCTGCTCCAAAGTGGTTTGGTTAATGGAATAATGCTTAATATTCAATAAGGTCTTATTGTTCTCTATAACTTTGAACAAGTCAGCTAGGCATGCCCATCTTTTTGGCACATGATATTCTAATAAATTCAGGTGCTGTCCCTAAAAGCAAAAAAAAATTTTAAAACATATCACATAATTAACATTATTAAACAAAATTGATCATACTACATTTAATTGGCAAATAAATTCAGTTGTATTTTCTCAACCTACAGACATAATTTTGTGAGTCTCCAAAGAATGCTTGTTGATGACAATTTTTCATGGGGTATATCTGACAAATGGCATTCACCTGAATGGCACTGCCCTTTGATACGCTCCCACCTTGCCATGGCATGAAGAAGTACTCTTTAAGGAATCATAAGATGCCCACAGATATCTGAGATGTAGGAAGTTAACGTGGCCTAACAGAAATGGATGGAGGAACCCTGAGCTTTACACAGAGACTTGGGCTTATCTCTCAGCTGTTCTCATCATTAGCTGAGCAACTCTTGGAAAGATATTTAAACCTCTGATCCTTGTCCTCATGTATGCCAGTGGAGATAATGATAATCTGTTTTATACGGTGGATCAAAGTCATAATTGAGCATGAAAGGCAGTCTCATGTAGATTGGCAGTTGTTGAAATAAATAGAACATAGCTACTATACAGACTACAACCTGCTAGAAGTTATAATAAGCTAGCATCCCACAGTTATCCAAGAGAATTTTAGACAGTGCTTCTCATACTTTATCGTCCATAGGAATCACTGGATCACCTTGCTAAAACACAGATTCCCATTAAATAGGTTGGGGCCTGTGATTCTGCATGTCTAACTAGTCCCAGGTAATGAAGATGCTGCTGGTTCAGGGACCATACTAGATGACAGCAAGTTTGTAGATGATTGTGATCTCAAGCATAGGGCTCTTTTTGTGAAGCAATGCTAAAACCATCATGCCTATAAACTCTACAGCAAATATATGGAAGAGATTATTAGCTTTTGCAATCATCTATGCTAAACAAGGTGAGCTATGCAATGAACCTGTGCCCACAGATAAGAAGGGTGATATGTAACCACAGTCTGCTCTGGCTAGTCCAGCAAGTAGCCAAGCAGACTTGTCACTCTTCAGAGTGGTCAAGCAATATCAGCCATCCATGCTGTTTTTGGCAGGGAGGCAGGGCCTATACTTTGCAAAGAGGCTAAGGAAATAAGTAGTATCTTATAAAAGCATAGAATAAAAACAGAAAGAGACAGGTACATTTATTAGTTTTGTAGCTGAAAATAAAGAAACAATACAGAATATTAGCACTACCTTGAACTGGATTCCCGGAAAATAAAGCTTCAAGTGGTCAGAAACAATGCAATGTTGATTTGCTTCCTTACAGAGCCAAACTTTGACTGTATAACCATCACCAAACCTGAGAGTTAAATAAAATAAAAACATGATTATTATATTGACATAGATGAGTAAATTTTAAGTCCATTTTCACATAGAGGCAGAAAAAGGAAATAATTACTCCAAACTGTTGAGAGTTTGGATTCTCAATATAAGACACAGAAATTAATTGTAAGTCAATTATGCAGTTGGTTGTTATTCCATTTATTTTGACACAGATACTGATTTACCTTAAAAAAATTATCAGCAAGTCTTGGAATCAATATCCAGGCAATAAAAAAGGAAAGGTGAAAATGCAAACAGTGAAAACAAGGTCCTGAGTTAGAGGAAGTGGGAAGCTGGGCTGGAAACTGGCCCTGGGAAGCATTATTATTGCTGGCCTCATTGCTTCAAGGTCTGTACTGATTAAAATTTGGCTGGGAAAGATGAAAGGGATTACATACGTAATTTAACCAGGCACTTGTCTGTTACATAAAATAATTCTCCCAGTTGTACTTCAACCCAGCCTAGGTGGACAGGCCCTATGACTGCAAAGGAAGTCTCCTGCCTAAGGGGCTCTGTTCTTCACATTGTAGAGCTGTCAACAATAGTTCCACCGGTGTCCCATCAAGACACAAGCTTATACTCATACCCTAAGGTAACCTCAAACAGCAATCTCCAGGAATGTAGGGGGTCTCCAAAAACTGTATGAATTATTCTACTGCCTTATCTCACATGGTGTGGGACACATCATAGCATCCCAATAAAGATCTGTTCAATAAAAGATAAATAGATGAATATATGCTGATGACTAAAATTTCTGTTTGTTTTGTTCACTAAGGCATCTTTTCTAAGTACCAAGCACAGTATAAGTACCTAGTACCTAGCACTGATAAATACTAGTTTAATGAATAAAGAATGAGCAAATTGCATGCCCAGTCTTAGCAATCATACTCATCTCATTTACAAAGCATTGCTGGGGAAAAATATGCTATACTTAACTAAATTTTCCCTAAATGAGGCTGACCCCTAAAACATTTATGGTCAAATTATTTTTCAAGTCTGTCTGGTAAAGACAGAATACCCAAGGAAATGTGACTTTGTTTCCATGGCATAGATCACCCCTGTGAGCACCCATGGAGCTCCTCGCCCTGGAATTCTGTTTTCCTGCCTGCTGCCTTAATTTCAGGCTGTCAGATGTCATTTTTCCTTGAGGTCTATGTGTGGCCCCATAGCCTCCCATCATTCGAGTTGATGGTTTCTAATCTTCATGTGGCTGAGAGGTTGCTGAGGACACTGAGAAAATATACATAAAAGCATACAGACATGCACCTCTCTAACATTTCTATTTGGCTATCTCTAAGAATTGTTAAAGGCCAACAAATTGGGTTGGTATAAAAGGTATATATTCTATGGCTGTTCTCTTCTCAGCAGTATGTCACAAGCTGTGCTGCTGAATAACACAATCAACCCACTGTGACTTCAACAAATCCCGAAAGTGGGTGTATACATCAGTGTTTCATGAAAAGAAGGGATTGAGGCCCAGGTGGTTGAAGGGGCTTCTCAAGGTGAACCACCATGTCGCTGGAGCTTTGTAACGATTCCTGGGAGAGAGCTCTCAGCTGTGTCTGGGCATAACGTTGTGTCCCAGGGCAGAGGGGATGTGTTGGATGGAGATGTGTCACACGGTTATCAAGGATTCTGATGGCATGACAAAATGCAGTGTTTGCACTACTGATGTGGAATCTAGTTCCTCCACATACTAGTTGTGTGACCCTGGAAAGTCAGGTAACTTTTCTAACCTCAGTTGCCTGATCTAGCAAATAGATTAATTATAGTAGCTGCCTAATAAGACTGAGAGAAGACTGACTGAATTAATCCTTGCAAGTTGCTTGGGACAACGTCTGGCACTGTGTAAATAAGTAGATAAATAAGTAGTGAAATTTAGGCTCTGTGCAGAATATGACCAAAACAGAAGAATGCTCTTTTTGGAGTGAAGAAGCCCACTATGTATTTGGAGAACTTAGATGAAAGCAGATAAAACAATTCAAACATGAATCGTAAGCACTACATAAAAAGATAATGATAAGAGGAGACAGTGGGCAGAGAGATGACTATATGTTCTTATACATATTAGGATCCACTTTCACCATTAGTAAAAATTGTAGACCTATGGGTATATTTTGCTAATAATTTTGACAAATTCATGCTAAATAACAGTAATTATCTAATAAATTCTCTATAAGCACATATGCATATTAATACTTAAAATTCTTTCAAAATTAAGTTTCATTTGAACTAAAACATTTCCAAATTGACTGTGAAGAAGCTGAATTACACAAAAAGAAAAATTACACAAAAAAATTAAACAAAGGGTAAATTACATCATTTTTGAAAAATAAAAAAACTCTGGAGAAAATATTCCTGAAATAGATAGGAAATAGGTTGAAAGAGATTACACAGGATCTCTGTAGAACATTTAATAGTTAAGAAGAATTCTAAACATAAAATCATAAAAGCAATTTTATAATTAAGACACTCTTAGATTATTAAATTCATTATAGAATAAAAGGCTTCAAAAGAGCCAAGGAGTCATTTATTTCTACGTTCACTCAGTGATCTAACATTTCTAGGTAATACATTATGTACACATTATTTGTAGAATCAATTATTAAGTAGAGATAAATAAATGGCATTATCTGTAGGTAAAGGTGCTTATAAGAAATTTTCTGCAATTTTTTGAGGTACAACATTTTGGAACCACAGACATTAAATGTAATATATTAATGCTAAAACAGAAGCAATAGTAATACATGAGTGGAAGAACAAAAATACACACATATATTTTAAAAGTCAGACACTTCAAGAGCAGAACAAAAGAGGTGGCAATGCACCTACAGAGACGTTTCTGAAAAATCACTTGTCAAGTTATACCAATTGCCTATGAAGCTTTGCATTCCTGGGCTTAAGGCTCCCCTTACAAAAGTCCTTTTTCCAAAATTAAAAGTCATCTACTTATAACAAATATATTAATTTCAGCCTCAACTATTAAAAATCTCTATAAATAATTTTTGTAAAGAGAAAATGGCTATTATATTAAGTGCAAAATAGAAAATCATAGACTCACTATTATATTAATTATGTAAATATATTTGCATATATTTACAGTCAGAATGAAATAAATTCTGGGATGCTATCTAGACAATAATCATATGACTGTTAGTTTTTTTCCTTTATGCTATTCTGAATTCTAAAATAATGAGCACATATAACTTTATAGTTAGAAAGAAAAAATATACATGGTTTCTAAGAAAATAGAAGGAACATATACGACAACTCTATTTCAGTTTCTGACTTTAAAAACATTTATTTAAGTACTTTTTGTCATACTTCCTCTAAAAATTAAATGCATAAAATTCTTCTTGGTATAGAAACTAATCTTAGACTTTAGAAAACAATAGGATTTACAAAATATGTAATATTTGTATTATTTGTTTTTTATAGATATATGCCCACTGGTTTCCATCATCTGCCCCACAAGAAGTCTAGTCACACTCACATCCACAACCCCATACATGTGCCCTTCTCTACACATATCTGAGTAGGAAATATCTTTAAAGACAACTTCTCCCTCACCCGCCACAGAGTGAGAACAGATAGCAGAGGGGGACCAGGCCTCCCATGGTCTCACGTTACGCTTTCATTCAGCACAAATGTTACAGCACTGACTGTGGAATGTGGGACCCCCGCTGCCTCAGACCACATTGGTCCCTCATTCGCATCTTCCTGCCTCTCCTCACCACACCCCACTCCTCACGGGTTGGTGCCTTAACAACATACCAAATTCCAGTGATTGGGCCTACAGAATTGTAATAGCTTGTCTTTGGATGCATGAAGAGGAGGAGCAGATGGCACTGAGGAAGGGTGGCCAAGCAAACACTGGGATGCAAACATGTATGTGAGCAGTTGATGTTTAGCTGGCATCTCTGTATTATTATTATTTTTTACTTTTGAGATGGAATCTCACACTGCCACCTGGGCTGGAGTGCAGTGGCACAATCTTGGCTCACTGCAACCCCCATCTCCAGGTTCAAGTGATTCTCCTGAGTAGCTGAGATTATAGGCACCCACCACTATGCCCAGCTAATTTTTTGTATTTTTAGTAGAGACAGGGTTTCACCATGTTGGCCAGGCTAGTCTTGAACTCCTGACCTCATGATTTGCCTGCCTTGGCTTCCAGCCCAAGTGTGAGCCATTGTGCTCTGGCTATCTCTGTATTATTAATAGAAACTTCCTCATTGCAATCTGTCCTCATGATTACCCACTGGAAAGAAAAGAAAACCAAGAGAGAAGACTGAGGACATGAGCTCCGTCCTGCACTCTCGGTGAGTGAGGCACCAAAACACATTATCCTAATTAATCCCCACAAAATGCTGATGTTGCTCTCTCTGTCTCTGATTTACAGAAGTAAGGTGGATCTTAGAGCAGCTACATAACTCGTCAGGTCACACAACTCAAAGGGAATGGAGGCAGGTACAGTTCCAATGCTGAGCACTTAACCTCAAAACCGCAGCCTGCAGCAGGATCTCATCTCATTCTAATGCTCTTACATCCTTTCTATCAATACTTTCACATCAGTAATTTCATTTAACTCTTATCACACCTGCACACTGACTAGAACAGATAGCATTTCCTCTTTATTAAATGAAAAAATTTGAGGCCCAAAGAGATCAGAGGATTTTTCCTTTGTCACTCAGCTTATTAGCCAGCAGAGCTGAGACCATGGGGCTTACCTCAAAACCATGTCCCTTCATTGCAAGTACCTTTATTCTTTCAACTTCAGTTAAGTTTGATTTGGATCATTTTCTAATCATTGCATATGCAAATCAGAATGGCTGTGGGGATTACAGACCAAAGGTATTAACATAAAGAGAGCCTTTGACAAATAACAACAACAAAACAGTGTCTGGCAGCTGGCACCTGCTCTCCTCTTGGGGAAGAAACCCTCTTTGAAAAGAGCCTCAATACACTTTCTCAGTTTAA